TAATGGAAGGAAGGAATCCATCATTATATTTTCTAGGTCAAGGTGCTTGTTGTGTACAGTTTCACAGAGCCTTCACATTTTTTCTTTAATTTTATTCATGTCTTTTTCATTCAGCAGCTTAGCTGAAGAAGCATCTTGCTCCAGTTCTAAAAGTCAAATCATTAGATCCATGCTAGCTCTATCAAGATCCATGTTCAAATGACATCTACTCAGTAAGTACATGAGGGCAGCTGCACAAAGGGACGTATTCTTCGACAGGCAAAAAAAAAAAAAGTCAGCAATTAGTGGTAACTTCAGGAGATATGATCATTTTGACATTTGTTCATATTTTGGAAATCTTGAAAATGTTTTATGCAGTGAAAACCTCCCTCTTTAAATATTCTAGGAAAATGTGAATTAGATAAATACATAAATAGGGCACCATTGTTTAAAATTTTCCTTCCTTCAGAACTTCCCTATATAAATGTTCTAGCTCTGGGGCATTTAAGTGGAATTACATATTTGGGGGGTCATTCTGTGCTAAATGAGTTTACAAAATATTTTTTCAGCTATATATAATCCTATTTTAAAATATCCTTCACTCTGTGCTCTCTATGATACAGTAACATCAAATTTCAGTTTTAAGTCAATAACTAAGTACAAAAGTATAAATGTAAAATCTGTATCAGAAACAGCTATTTTTTATGTAAAATAAACACAGCTGAGTTTGTGTCAATATATAAAGCTAGGATGCTCAAATCAGCATATTGAGACTCATTTCTTTACAATAAATATATCAGGCCTGGCTGAAGCAAGTAATTTTTAGAAAACCATTAATATAATATACTCTCAAAATCATTCAGATAGGTAGAGTTAGGACACTCTGCTTATAATAAAACCTACATGTATTAAAGGTGATGTAGGTAAGCATTAATATAACAAAAAGGTCTGGGTTGGGATATTCGAACATGTGGGACATTCTGTACTTAACACTTATTTCAATGCACAGAAACAGAATTAACTATCTAAAGATTTAAGCTTTGAATACTCAAAATTCTGACTAGGTAACTAAATGTTTACAGAGCAAACTATTTTGGGAAACTAAAATGTCATAGGCCTTGGGAGATTTCCTTGAAGAAAAACATAATAAAGCCATCTGAAAATACCATGATTAGTAATGATTTTTTTCTAACTTCAAAAATGTTAAACCCAACTTTTATATGTATGCTTTACTTTTAAGAGAATGTGTCAAAGTCCTAATGCAAATTAGGAATTGATTCTTTTTCATCATGGGCTATGTCCTATATTCAGCATCCAGACAGAATGTTAAAAATTGTTAATATCTTTTTACTTTTTTCTATGCTATTAATATAAAAAATTAGTAAAACATTTTTTCAGTACTTTTTCATTACAGAAAATCAATACTTACAGAATTAAATCTCTGGTATGGGATATGAGCTATGATAACTAAACAGCATTTTAATAGTATAAACTGACAAGTTAAGGGAAGAAAGGTCATGAGAAAATAACCTTATATAATTTATTAAAAAAAATCTGGCATTAAGCTCTAAATATTTAGCAAGTAAGACTAACTCAACCCACAATTAGGAAATACTTATAGATGAAAGAAAGTATATTTTAATAGCCAAATAAAGTAGGATTTTTAAATAATGCTTCTCAATCCCAGGAACTTCAATACCTGATGCTGCTGTGACTCATCCAAGGTTTTAAAGAACATAGCAGAAATAGAAGCAAGAATAAACAAATGGGAACTCATGAAACTTACAAGCTTCTGCACAGCAAAGGAAACCATAAGTAAAATAAAAAGACAACCTACGGAATGGGAGAAAATTTTGGCAAATGAAACTGACAAAGGCTTGATCTCCAGAATATACAATCAGCTCATATGAGTTAATAAGAAAAAAAAACAACCCAAACCAAAAATGGGCAGAAGACCTAAACAAGCAATTCTCCAAGGAAAACATACGAATGGTCAATTGGCACATGAAAAAATGTTCAATATCACTAATTATCAGAGAAATGCAAATCAAAACTACAATGAGGTATCTATCACTTCACACCAGTCAGAATGGACATCATTCAAAAGTCCACAAATGACAAATGCTGGAGAGACTGTGGAGAAAAGGGAACCCTCCTACACTGCTGGTGGGAATGCAGTTTGGTGCAGCCACTGTGGAAAACAGTATGGAGAGTCTTCAAAAGACTAGGAATAGACTTACCGTATGACCCAGGAATCCTGCTCCTGGGCGTATATCCAGAAGGAATCCTACTTCAAAAAGACACCTGCACCCCAATGTTCATAGCAGCACTATTTACAATAGCCAAGACACGGAAACAGCCTAAATGTCCATTGACAGATGACTGGATAAAGAAGATGTGGTATATTTATACAATGGAATGCTATTCAGCCATAAATACCAACAACATAACGCCATTTGCAGCAACATGGATGTTCCTAGGTAATGTCATTCTAAGTGAAGTAAGCCAGAAAGAGAAAGAAAAATACCATATGATATCACTCACATGTGGAATCTAAGAAAAAAAAACCAAATCATAAATACAAAAGAGAAACAGACTCACAGACATAGAATACAAACTTGTGGTTGCCAAGAGGGTGGGGGGTGGGAAGGGACAGACTGGGATTTCAAAATATAGAATAGATAAACAAGATTATACTGTATAGCACAGGGAAATATATACAAGATCTTATGGAAGCTCACAGCGAAAAACAATGTGACAATGAATATACATATGTTCATATATAAC